TGTGTGTGTGTGTGTGTGTGTGTGTGTGTGTGTGTGTGTGTGTGTGTAGTTAAGGGTGAAATACAGAAAGACAAGCCTTGGACCTTGTGCCGAAGGCACTCCTTGTTTGAGCTACAGGAAGGTGACAAGTCACACCTGATGGCTATTGGACAAGGCTGCAGGAAGGACTACAGTGTTCCCGAGCTCTGTCAGCCTGTGTCAGTATGGTGTGTGAAGGTGGCTGGAGAACAGGCACGTGAGAGCCACTGAAGGTCTTGGCTGGACAGGGGATGGACACAGAGATGACAAAGGCTTTGTTTTCCTAAGGGGACATGCGCTCCAGTGAGATGCCCGAGCTCACCTCCATGCACACCCTCTTTGTTCGAGAGCATAACCGGCTGGCCACACAGCTCAAGCGCCTGAACCCTCGCTGGAATGGGGAGAGACTCTACCAGGAGGCCCGGAAGATCGTGGGGGCCATGATCCAGGTGGGCATCCTGGCCTTGTGTTCTCGGGCAGGCTCCTATCTCCCGAACGCTGCTTCTTTATCCATAGTATCGTGAGGCTCAAAAGAGCCAAATGAAAACGCAGGCAGGTGTGACCTGCTTGACAAGTGCACTTTGTCCCCCCGGGCCTTCCTCTTTCCCGAGGGCCTGGGATGGTGTTGTGAGGGTCTTAAGCAGAAGGATCACTGTTGGCTCTTTTACCCATCATCTTGAGCACTGACCCCCTTGGGTCAGTGTTCCTCCATCTGTTTTTTTTAACATTTGATGTTCCAGTGACCCCATTTTCCCAAGAATGTAAACATTCGTGAGCATCTCACACACACACACATGCACACACACACATGCCCATTTGCTAGATTTTAGGAAGAGAGGTGACGGTGCTGAGGGTGGGCTTTTGATTTACACTCACAGCCATAACGGGGAGTCATTTCAGCCTCAGAGGCAATTCTCGCCTTGGATCCAGAGTGACACCGTCCCACAGCTCCCCTTTCACGGGGGACATCACACCGGAGCAGACTTCTGTGAGCCCTACTGTGTGCCAGGCTATTGCTGGGCACTGTGAACAACCTCCGTAATTTCAGCTTCCCTGGCTCTCAAAGAGGAACGAGACACTGATAACGTCAGGGCCAGAGAGGTTATCACAGTGACTAACAAGGCATTTGGTTTAATCCCGTGAGAGAGAAAGCGTATATAATTATTTTTCGTTAACCTCTGTGGTTCAGAGAGTTTAATAAATGACCCAAGCTCACATAGCTAGGGACAGTAACGCTCTGAGTATGTCCTTCAGTGCCACTATGTTCAGTTTCAGATCCGGAAACCACGGGAGGGTCGGGGGAGTGAATAGACATCTCTTCCAAGTGACTCTGTTTTAGATCATCACATACCGGGACTACCTGCCCTTGGTGTTGGGACCAGCAGCCATGCGGAAGTACCTGCCCAGGTACCGATGCTACAACGACTCAGTCGACCCTCGAATCGCCAACGTCTTCACCAACGCTTTCCGCTATGGCCACACCCTCATCCAACCCTTTATGTTCCGCCTGGACAATCAGTACCGGCCCACAGGGCCCAACCCTCGGGTCCCACTCAGCAAGGTCTTTTTTGCCAGCTGGAGAGTTGTGTTGGAAGGTGAGTGGAACCCGAGAAACGCCAGCAGCCGAGGTGGGATGGCATGGGCTTGACTGACGCCAGAGAACTAGGCTGGGGAGAGATCTTTTTTCATTTCTTCTTTAGGGATGTAGCCTGGCATTCCAGTTTCACGGGCCTGGGGGGGCTAGGGCTGGGAACATCCCAAGCTGTGAACCGTCGGGTCAGAGAGTGTCTGGTGATGATTGGTCTCTGGGGCCCAGGGGTTGCGCGTGCCTGCGGCTTTTCTCCGACCCCTTAGACTCCGCTTGGACCAACCCTGACTCCACTCTGCAGGTTAACCCTTCCTTTCACTTTGCTCTCTTGTCCTCAGGTGGCATTGACCCCATCCTCCGGGGCCTCATGGCTACCCCTGCCAAACTGAATCGCCAGAACCAAATTGTGGTGGATGAGATCCGGGAGCGACTGTTTGAGCAAGTCATGAGGATTGGGCTGGACCTGCCCGCCCTGAACATGCAGCGTAGCAGAGATCACGGCCTCCCAGGTGAGGGGTGGGCCCCAGCCCCATCCAGCCTCCCAGGTAGCCTATAGCTCCACTTCCTGCCCAGGGCCCAGGAAGCACCAGAGGCTAGGTCATGCTTTTTCCAGGCCCCAGTGGCCACATTTCAGCCTCTCTTGGCTTCTTCACAGGCTGGACTCTTTGCAACCCATGATCTGGAAGGCTGTCTCCATCATCAGTCCATTCTGACTCATTCATGAGCTTGAGGGTGGAAGAGTACCACTGTCATTTTTACTGATTAGGGAACTAGGGTTTAGAGGGGTCCTGAGCTTGGCTGAGTGCTGTAACCAAGCCAGCGAGGGAGCTGGAGCTTGGACCCAAGCACGACCAGCCTAACCCAAAAGCTCACACCTGTGTTGTGGGGTAGCACAAGTGACCATGCCTCTGAGACATATTTTTCACTCTTTGTGCCAGAGACAGATGCATTGGGCTTCTGCCCTAAGGGACAATGTTTCCCTGCCTGCGCCTGGCAGGGTTGTGGCACTATCTCTGGGTGTGAGAGAGAAAGGACAAGTACAGTGAGAGGGCTGGAGAGGCCCAGCTGTTCACTCTGGCCTGAGCCAGTCATTTAGGGGTCCATTCTGCTTATGGCCTTGGGTACTGGGGTGGGTGTTTGAATGCCTCTGCAGTTTGTCCCTGCTGTTCCCAGGACTCTTTCTACCTGGCAGGAGAGGGGCCCATTTACAGTAAGCCTGTCCTCTGGCCCGATGCAGGATACAACGCCTGGAGACGATTCTGTGGCCTCCCACAGCCCAACACAGTGGGGGAGCTCGGCACGGTGCTAAAGAACCTGGGATTGGCACGGAAGCTGATGGCGCAGTATGGCACGCCCAACAACATTGACATCTGGATGGGTGGTGTGGCCGAGCCCCTGGAGCCCAGTGGCCGAGTAGGTCAGCTCCTTGCCTGCCTCATTGGCACTCAGTTTAGGAATCTTCGAGATGGTGACCGGTAAGGAAGCCGTGGGGTGGTGGGGTGGCACACACGTGGGGCTGGGAGGGGGAACAAGCAGGCCACAGCACTCATGTGGAGCTCAGAGGACAACTTAAGGACTTGGTTCTACCGTGTGGGGTCCAGGGATGGGCGGTACTCAAGTTGTCGGCCTTGGTGGCAAGTGCCTTTGCACACTGAACCATCTTTCTGGTCCCCAAATTCCACTCTTCACACTTTCTCTGGGTTTCTCAGTGCTGCTGTGGAGGCGTCAGCCACCACGGAAAAGTCTCAGTTTCTCTCACTGTCCCCGTTTCACGTCATTTCATCATGATCCTGACATGTCTTAGCTCTTACCTAGCTTGCATTACTCCCTTGGGGATATTGTAAAAAGGTGTCCCAGTCAAGGAGAACAAATCACAAATGCCAGCCCAGGCCCTCTTCTCTCCTTGTGGATATGTGCATGGGACTGGGGCCCAGAGAATGCTGGGTGGGAGCGGGGGACCTACCCAAGCAGCTGTGCTCTTGTCCTCTGGGCTGAATGGGCACTTCCCATGACCTGGAGCTCTCCTGTGCCATAGAAAGGAGTCTCCCGTGGCCCTCTCACACTCAGGGGTCAGCCCAAGCCCAGTGATGCCCTCCCAACAAAGGCTAGCCTCAGACGTGACATCCGTGATGCTCCCTCCCGCGCAGGTTTTGGTGGGAGAACCGAGGGGTGTTCAGCACACAGCAGAAGCAGGCCCTGGCCACCATCTCCCTGCCCCGAATCATCTGCGACAACACCGGCATCACCACCGTGTCTAAGAACAACATCTTCATGTCCAACTCGCACCCTCGAGACTTTGTCAGCTGTAACTCCCTTCCCAGGCTGAACCTGACTTCCTGGAAGGAGGCCTAGTGGCCGGGTAAGGGCATGCCACACGGAAGGGTATGCCTGGTTGGCTATTTGGAACCACAGGGAACTCTCTTCCCCAAGTGAATCCATCTTTGTGGATGTTGTGAGTGCCAGTGGGGGGAGGGGGGTGACTGGACATTCACATGTTGTGTGCACATGTATGTTTGCATGCATGCTTGTGCATGCCTATATATATATATATATATACACACACACACACACACACATCCTATGTGAAACCTATTATTTCGCATGTGAGCACGGGCAACGCTGGATGTGCCTTGTGTGCGCCTCAATCGCACGAGTCAGAGCTCACTGCCCATGACCACGTTAAGAATGGGAGGCAGAGAGCAGGCTGCCTGAGTTCAAGTCATCACTCTGAAGCATAGCAGTGCGTGTATTTGTCTTTGGACAAATTACTCTTAAGCCTGAATTCTCTTCCTTATAAAGAGGTCGAGGCTTGTTAGAGAGCCTATTGCAGCCCTCAGCTCTCAGCTCACTGAGCACCTACTATGTGCCAGGCACTGTGCTAGGCAGGGAAAATAGAGGCAAAAAAAAAAAAAAAAAAGATGAATGCCAAGGACAGAAAGCCGAGTCCTCGATCACATTCTGGTTTGCAGAAACGAGGCCTCTGGGGGGTTGTAGTTAGCAGTTGGGCTGTGAGGTTGCGAAGTCTAGGTTAGCCCGGCTCAGCCCGGCTCTGCCCATGGTTTCCCCTTCTCCCTGACTCTCCTCTTGCCGTTCACAGAAGCCTGTCTGGAGAGGAGCAGAGGCCCCTGGCCCTTCTGTACTGTTTGTTTGTACATGAAGTTTACACTAATAAAACGCCATGGATGGGGATCTGCTGTATTGTCTGTGAAGGGGCTGCAGCTTCAGGGGGAGGCTCCCTCTGCTCCGTGACCTTGAGACAGGGTGGTCTGTACCTGGGGACATTTCTGGAGTGATGACGGTGCCGGGGAACCCTCTCTACGTGGAGGGCGGCTAGCTCTTCGAAGCCTGTGGCCAGGTCACACTAATCAGACCCTCATCCCTCGTGTCCCTCCTCTACCACTCTGTGGAACGGGAATGTGGCCAGCAAGCCCTCATATTTGTTCATCTCTCAGGCATATGTTTGCCACTTGCTCGTTCTGTGTCCAACTCAAAAGAAGGGGAGGGGGCAAAATGCTGCCCACAGTGAGTGTCCCAGGGGTCCTCAAGAAGGCAGGTGCCGCCTTATTCCAGGCTTCCAGTGATCAGACCTCAGTGCCCAGGGAAAGGGAGGGGTGTATCTGGCCAGTGGTCTTGTCAGGAGCTGGCCCACAGTGGATCTGCAGACTCCTTCTTCTTTCCTGTCTTCTCACGTAGGGGGGTGGTAGCCCTGGGATGTGAGAGAATAGTGAGGTAAAGCTAGACGCTCACTGTGGAGAGCGGCAGGACAAGCACCTCTCAGCCTTGCCTTGCTGAGGAGGAGAGGGGTGTTCACTGAGGGGGAGCCTCATCCAAGGCTGCTGGTTTGAGGGGGGTTTGAAGAACAGGGCTATGATCAAGGCAGTCTCCGTAGGGTGGGGACGTGATTTCCTATAGGGTAATTTTCCCCCTGTGATGTCGGTATTGAATCTCAGGCCTTGTGTGTGCAAAGCAAACATTCTAACACTGAGCTAGGACTCTGGCCCTTTTCTATTTTGAGACAATGTCTTGCTAAAGTGGCCAGGCTGACCTCAAACTTGCTCTGTAGCATGGGTCAGTCTTGAACTTATGATTCTCTTGTACCATCAGACCTGGAAAGGGTAAATCCAGTTAACCAACTAATGATTTCATTAACTAGAAAATTTCCATGGTGTTAGGACTGAGCTTAGGGCCTTGTACATTGGAGGGTCTTTTCATTTTATTATTTATCTATTTAGTTTTAGATTTTTTTGTTTATGTATATGGCTATTTTGCCTGCCATAGCCATCTGTGCCTCATGCATGCAGCACTCTCAGAGGCCATAAGAGGGCACAGGGTCCTCTGGGACAGTTGAGAGCAGCCTTGTGGGTGCTGGGAATTGAACCAGGGTCCTCTGGAGGAGCAGCCAGTGCTCTTAACCACTGATCCATCTCTCCAGCACCTGGAGGGTCTTTTCTTTTAAAAAGAAAAAAAAAAAAGAATGAGGCAGAAGTTATACAAATTTAGGAGAATTTGGTGCTACTCTGGGCTACATAGTCTATTCAAGGCCTACCTAAGATATAAAGTGAGACCCTATGGGAAAAAAAAAATTAAAGAATGTATGAGTACACACTGGGCCATAGCCCAAGGAATGTTCTGGAAGCTGGACAAGTTCCAAGGACTGCCCGGGAAGAATAGAGTATTTCTTAGAGGACTGAAGAGTGGTTTTAGTTCTCAGAAAATCCAGGCTTGGTTACCCATGGTACACCACAGTAGGGTCACCCTGAGTTCTTACTCTCACTTCTCTGTGGTGTCATTTGCCCCTTCCAGGTGTTCCTTCCCTCCTCCCTGTTTTGAGAGCTCCTGAACCTCCCACTCAGTTACTATTCTATCAGACTGATTGATGACCAGGACCGCTTAGCAATAAGACACAGCTGGACTATAAACATCTAGTGACTTACATACAGTGGTTACAAGGCCTGCCCTTAGGGAGGAGCAGTTGGATATTTATTGAGCACTTTGGGTGCCGAACACCACGCTAAGTGCCACAAGCCATACCCATAAGCAGGCGGAAGTCTCTGGCTCAGGTGCTTATGGACAGGAGGAAACATAAGGGCCAAAGGTCACAGCCTCAGCGAATGCCCATCCAGGGAGAGGTTACCTTACATCTGACAAGCAGGAGGGGCATCTTTGGAAGCCTAAGTCTTGTCAGATGATTTTCACAGGCTCAGGGGTGAGAATGGTGAGAGCTGAGGGGAGGAGCTGGGAAGAGGCAGCCTCTGGAGACAAGAAATGAAGCCTTGGGTCTTGGATGTCCAGCTTGAAAGGACTTGTTTGAAATGGCATCTTGGACCACTGACCTGTGCAATGTAGGAAGCCGTGAGCAGCAGGTTCCTAGTTCTTCACTGAGGCCCAGGGTGAGAGGTCCAGCTTATCAACTGAGGAGCAGTTTACAAAGCCTTCAGGGTAGGTGTTGGCCTGGAATGGGTTCAGGGGGACCTTGTCGATGCCTGTGTTGTCACAGACGAGGCGCGAGAAGGACATCTTCTGTAGAGAGTCCCGTTGCTTCTCTGTAAAGACCCCCGGGTTCTCCCACCAGAACCTACAAGGACAGGGCAGGGTCATTTCACACAGTACAGGAGCTAGCTCCCCCCATATTGCTAAAGGACATCCTTGGGAAGAGGAAAAGCCCCTTCTATGGTGCGGTGTGGAGTCAGACCACTTGAAGAGGGTTGGGGAACCTGCCTAAAGGAAGGGCTCCTCCTGCCCCCAATAATGGTTTCACTTACCTGTCTCCATCTCGGAGCTTCTGAAACTGCAAGCCCAGGAGACAGGTCAAGAGAGGCCCCACCCGTCCCCTGTGGACCAGGGGTTCAGCAATGGCCCCTAGCCAGATGTCAATGTTGCTGGGGGTTCCATAGAGGTCCATCAGCTTCTTGGCCAACTCCTCATTTCCCAGCACAGCACTCAGCTCCTCTAGCGTCTCTGGCTGGGACAGCCCACAGAACGCTCTCCAGGAGTTGTACCCTAGGGGAGGGAAGATAAGGCTAGCTCATCTCAGGAACCACTTGTGTTTTCCCTTGGAGATGTGCTCTACCTCCAGAAGCTGGGAAAGACTGAGAGCAGAGTTTTTAAGACGATGGAAAGTGTAATGCATCGCTTGTCATCTGTGGCACTTCAGTCTTGGGGGAGAGGGCTGACAGCTTACCACAGAGCCAGGCATGATTCCAAGCACCTTATAAACGAATGAGAGCAAAGCTGCTGGAGCTTGCCTTCCGTCCTGTGACTGATTGTCAAAGTGGCAAGACCTGGAATAACCTAGCTGGAAAAGCTCTGGGCATGCTCAGCAGGGAGTTTCTAGGTAGGGTTAATTATGATGGGAAGCCCCACCCTGAACACAAGCGGCGCCTGTCTGAGGTCTGGACAGAAAGAGGAGGGAAGCTGCACCGGCCTCCATCACTCTCTGCTTCCTGACAGCAGCGTTGGTGTGGCCGGCTGCCTCATGGTCCCGACACCATGCCTGCCTTGAACGATGGGCTGACCGTGCCTTCAAACTGTGAGCCAAGTTAAACCCATCCTTTTGTCAGGCATTTTATCACAAACAAAGAGAAAAGCGACTAGACGCCTAGAAAACGGTACTGCTGGGGTTTGAACTCAGGCAGCCTGGTTCTCGGTGACAACAAGGTTGCTTTCCGTAGGTGTAAAGGAAAGCTCCAGCACCCACCAGATCGCCAGTCTTCCCTTCCTTTCCCTTCCCCCTTCCCCTTTCTTTCTGTTAAGGTTTCTCTGTGTAGCTCATGCTAGCTTCAAGCTGATGATCTTCTTGCTCTCGAGTGCTGGGATTGTACGCTGACACCACCACATCTGGAACTCTGTTCCTTCTGGACCTTTTCTGGCCTTTTAAACTGATTTAACAAGTTGGTTGTTGATCTCACTTTTTTCCTCCCCTGCGGCACTAAGATACCACCACGTGTGTATTCACATCCCTGAAAAGGAAAAAATTCCATTTCCTGGATGTCTTATGTGGGGTTTCTAAAATGGGCTTGCCTCTAGCCTGAGGCTAGAGACTAAGCCTGCCTGGGCCTGACCTAGGCCTTCCACACATGTTACAGTTGTGTAGCTTGGTCTTCTTGAGGGACTCCTAACAGTGGGAACTTTTGAGACCTTTCCCCCATCTGGGATGCCTTGTCTGGCCTTAATAGAAGAGGAGGTACCTAGTCTTACTGCAAGCTGATATGCCATGGCTGGTTGATATCAATGAGGCTGGCCCTTTTCTGAAGGGAAACAGAGGAGGAGTGGATGAGGAAGAAGGGGAAAGAAGAGAGGCTTCGGGGAGGGACTGGAAAGAGGGAAAACTGTGATCAGGATGTAAAATAAATAAAATTTTAAAATTTCAAAAATGGGCTTGCCTCTAGCTTCAGGATCAACAGGCCCCTGGCGGGGTCCAGAGGAGGGTGTCCAGGAGCCCCCAGAAAGTAGCCAAGAAGTTTTTCAGCCCAGGTGAGACCTCAGCCCCACTCACCAGGCTGCCCGTGGTCTCGGCACCGCTGTATGTTGATGGAGGCCAGGTCGAAGCCGTGGATGGTGTGATTCGGCTGGAACAGCTTGTTGCGGAGTTCTCCCGTCATCATTTTATCCTGATGCATCAGTTTGGCCTTCTTAGCCAGCAGGCCTCGAACCAGAGGGTCAATTCCACCTGCAGAGGGACAGCACGGGGCCAGTCTCAGGACAGGAACAGAATGAGGGCATTCTCCTCCATTCTGGGCCCTCTCTGCCCTAGACACCTCCTCTCAATAGGAAATGGGAGTGATTAGGAAATGTCTCTGGCTCGAGATGGGGAGAGAAGAGCACACTGCAGCCTGCCCTTTGTGCCAGGGTAAGAGGAGCCCAGGCTACCCTTTCTGAGGCGACGGGAGAGGGCACTCATGGGCTGATGGATGAAGAAATACCAGGCATCCTTTCATGTTCTAGTTCATGGAGTCAGCTCCTTTGTCTCACACACATTCCCCTAGAGGAAGGGGGACCATACAGCTTCAGAAAAGGGCCCTGACGGGTTAAACTTGAGTTTTAACTGAGGAATAAGAAAGCTGCATTCAGTCTATGATACCTCACGGAGGTAGGAGGTTCCAGAACGGAGCAATTTACCAAGCCCACAGATTCTCTTTTCAGAGCTCAGAGAAGCCTAGGGTATAGGCAGAAGAACCTCAGACCCGGGAAGCCGGAAGGAGGAAATCACTGTTATTCACAGATCGCTCCCTCTGTGTCAGGAACCACACTGAGGTGCTCTACACATCTATCTCATTTCATCCGACATCCTTGTGGGATGGGTACGGTTATCGCCCTTAGTTTCCAAACAAGGAAATCAAGACTCAGTAAGATGAATTCCCTTGCCCAAGGTCACACAGGACATGCGTGGAAAGTGATCCCCATGCCAGGAGTCCCTGAAAGCTGGTTGAAGAACAAGAGGGCTCCGGCATGAAGGCCTCCCTGAGAAGACTCACCATCTTTGACGAGCCTCCAGGTGTTGAAGAAGAGCGTGTGCAGGGGGAGCTCAGGTTCTGAGCCCCATGGCTGATAATTCTCATCTAAGCGGGACACGGTAGAGGGGACCTCCAAGTGGCCAAAGCGGAAAGCAAAGCTGAAGACGTTGGAGATTCGGGGGTCTACAGATTCACTGTAGCCTTGGTACGGGGGTATCCACTTCTGCATCTCATCACCCAGTAGGATGGGTAGATAGTCCCTAAAGGTGATAATCTGGAGGGATAAACAAGTCCTGAGGAAAGGATGTAAGCCTCTGCAATGGGAGGTTGGGGAGGAGCTGCTGTCAAGAGGAAGGCAAGTGGATAGCATTCGTACCCCGTTTCCATTCCTGTGACCATGGCAGACATTGCTAATCAATCATGACATCCTTTCATCTATTCCTCATACTGTCTCCATATAGGTTATACGAATTGCTCATTTCAAAGTGATGCTCTCTGCTTAGCAAATCTTAGCAGCAAGATTTCTGGCTCTAATATTTTAGACGGAAATAGGTCATTTTAATTAAAAATAGATGTATGCATGTGGTATGTGGTGTCGTGTGTGTGTGTGTGTGTGTGTGTGTGTTCTGGTTTTAGAACAAGGTGGTGTAGCCTTATTTTCCTTTCTCCTCTCTATTCACTGTAACTAGCCATCCTGGAATTTATTCAAAAGGACTGAGAGCTGGTATGGTGACACAAGGCTGTAATTCCAGGTGCTGAGGCAGGAGGTTTACAAATTTGAGGCCAGCCTTGGTTACATAGTGAGACTGCATTTCCAGCTCAAGCAATCCTAAAATAACAGCAACAGAAACAAACGGCTCTGGTGGCACACACCTCTAATCCCAGCATGATGACATGAAGGCATGAGGATCAGTAGTTCAAGGTCAGCTTTGTCTACATAGTGAGTTTGAGGCCAACCTGCACAACATAAGATCTAATTAAAAAAAAAAAAACTGTTGAGACTGGAGAGATGGCTTAGTGGTTAAGAGGGCTGGCTGCCCTAGAGGGCTTGAGTTCGGTTCCCAACACCCACATGGACAACGGCTGTCTGTAACTCCAGCTCCAAGGGGTCTGACACTCCCTTTGGTCTACACACAGAGACACATAAGTTAAATTTTCAAAAAGATACTCTGAAAGCTGGAAAAGGAATATTAACTGTCTAGAGAACCCAGAAACTGAAGAATGGCAATGGGGTGAGTTCTTTGGATTGAACTGGGTGCACAGGAGACTCTCAGCCTGACACTTCCAACAGTGATATGAAAAAAAAAAAAAGTCAAAAAATGCCTGCTTTCTCTTTCTAGAGACCAAGGGCCAGGGAAATCCAACACGGACTATCAGAGAGCCCCAAGCCCTGCCTCGCACCCCAAATCCCCAGAGCCCTAGCTAATCCTGCCCTGTTCCTCAGTCCAGGCTGTGGATGGCTTCAGCCTTCTTTGGGGGCAGTGGAGCACTGTCTGTTTCCTCTCACCCTTGGTTCTTCACCAAGGAGACACAGGCACAGTGGTGTCTGCTGCCATAGGGTGTTGCTTAGCAACAACAGGGAGCCAGAAAAAAAAAAAAAAAAAAAAGGAAGAAAAAAAAAACCCCAACCCTTTGGTGCCCTGAAGACAGTAGTAGTGGAGTGGGAAGTTCAGATGCCCTGGAAAAATGAAGGGGGCTAAGGGGACACTGGAAGAATTTGGAACCAAGATGTCACTGAAACAAAGGCAGGCCAGAACCTACATGCTAAACCTAAGCAGGGTAATGACAGGCTAGGAAAAAAAAAAAAGGTTCAGATAGGATTGAAATCGCTAAAATGTTCAGGAATACCAAGAACCAGGAAAGCCAGTTTTGTTTGAGAAAAGGACAATCAACTGATGCCAATATCAACGTGGATCAGAATTAGCTCGGGCTGGGGAGACAGGTCAGTCAGTAGGGTGCTCGCCCTGCAAGCACAAAGACTTGTCTATCATTCCCAGAACCCCTTAATAACGCTGGGCATGGTAGCGTGGACTTGTAATCTCCGAGCCAGGAAGGCAGAGGCCAGGCAGATTCCTGGAGCCTGTTGTCCACCAGCCTCGCCTACGTTGTAAGTTCAAAGCTAAAGTGAAACTTTCTTAATCAGTTATAGATTTTTCTGAAAAAAGGTGGGGGCGGGGGGAGGAAACATCTCAGCAAATAAGTAGAAAAAAATTTTAAAAAAATATAAAAAGTAATGAAACTGTGGAATTGAAAATACACTACTTGAAATAATAGTAACAAAAGCCGCAACAATAACCTTGAATCAATTCAGTAACAGAGTGGAAACGACAGAGGCTAGACATGGGAAAGATCAGCAGAATTTATTAATCTGTACAACAGAGAGAGAAAATAGCCTAAGGAAGCTCCAGCAAGCTTTAATCCAAGCACTCGGGAGACAGAGGCAGAGGCGGCTCTCTGAGTTCGAAGCCAGCCTGGTCTACAGAATGAGTTCCAGGGCAACCAAGGCTACACAGAGAAACCCTGTGTTGGAAAACAACAGTAAAACAAAACAACGACGGCAACAAAAGAACCTCCAGAACTTGAAGAATGGCGATGTGTTGAATTCTACATATTAGAACCTAGCAAACTAGGCCCTAAGGATTCTACAGGACAATAATAAAAGATCTAATGTATAACCAACCAGACATGGTGTTGGATGCCCATGGTCTCAGAGCTTGGAAGGCAGAAGCTGGAGGATCAGGAGGTCAAGACCAGTCTGGGCTAAATAAGATCGTATCTTAAAATCAAATCAAAACACAACACACATGCACGCACACGCGTGCCATACACACTCATGCACCTCACACACCCATGCACCTCTCAACCCTTCTTTCAGAGAGTTGACAAAGCGATCCAAAGTCAAGTATGCCTATGGCATGTACCTTGAGAGAATTCAAAAGGAAGAGAGACCAAAATAGCCCAAGTCATTGCAAGGGAGCAGCCCCAAGAGTGAGAACCGGTGGTCTCAGTAATGGCAACAGAGACCAACATGGATGATGCCCACGTTTGGAACGTGGGGATACATTTTAAAACAGGGAGCCATTCAGACACTCGGGGAGAAGCACAAGAGAGGAAGGAGTGAGGAACTATTTAGAAAGCAGAGAGCATGGTTGGGTGCTGGAGCCAGCGGCCCGCAGTGGCTCCTGCCTCCGTACCTGGATGAAGGCGCCCATGATTTTCCTGGCTTCCTGATAGAGCGTCTCTCCATCCCAATGAGGGTTGAGTCTGTTTAGTTCTCTGACTAATCGGTTGTGCTCCCGGATAAAGAGTGTGTGGGATATGGCCAGCAAGATCTGCTCCGAGGCTCGAGAGTCTCCTAAAAGCCCGGAAGACAGGAAGTGGAGATGGACAGAAGGGCAGTGACGGATGGGGTACCATTAAAGAACTGTGCCGCCAAGCTTGGCTAGAACTATGTCAGTGCTAGAGAATACTAGAAAGGTTTATATTAAAATGCTAATAAACCAGTATTGGTGAATGATGGGATCCCGTGGATTTTCTTTGTATTTCTTTTGTCTGAACTTCCTTAGGTTTTTTGTTTTTCTTTTCTTCATCAGGTCCCTTCCTCTCCATCTAGTTCAGTGCTATAAACAGAAGTGGCTTGGGGCATTTTTCTGGGCAAATGCTGAGATGGAGTAGCCTCCTTTAATGATCCCCCTGTCCCTAAGTCCCTCGTTTTCTTCCCAGGCTTAGACTCACCTGCCAAGAAGCAGGGCACACCAGCAGTGGTGTTGATGATCTCACAGGGGCTGGGTTTCATTTTGACAAAAGGTGGAAAGGGCAGACCGTGGTCTGAGACCTCTTCGTTGACGGCCATGAGGCCCAAGGGGCTACTGAGGTTTCGAAGTTGATTTGCCATCCTTGGCTCGGGGCTGTACACCAAGCTAGCATCCAGGAAAGGGGTCAGAGCATTGATTTGCTCTCGGGCCAGGGATCTGTAGGGTGTTTCGGGGCAGACAAACCCAGCTCTGAAGAAGGGCATGCACCTCCCCTGAGTCCTCAGTTTGGGGTCACCAGCTGGGAACTGTAGAGAGATGGGTTGGAGAATGACCGCAGCAGGACCACATGACACCTGCAAACATTGCACTTCCCCGGGCCCATGACACAAAGTTCATATATCCTGATGTGCAAGAGCTGAAAGTAATGACTGGGTCTTTCACAGCAAGAGCCCAGAAACGGTAGAGAGGATTTCCCAAGAACCCTAGACAGGCAAAGCAGCCTGTGACATGCGACGTAGTGATTAGGACTGAGATATCAACCCTGGAACTGCCTCGCACCAGCCACTGTCCATACTTCACCTCAATCCGGCCCTCGGAGAGCCTGTGAGGCAGACAGCTGAGTCTCTTACCCATGAGAAAACAGTCTCCACAGGTTAACCTACAAACTAGGAGGGAGAGATGTAAGACTCAGGTCCCAGCTCGGCCTCGGCCCGTGGCTCAGAATTTATTTTTTATTTTACAACCACAGCATGGACCCGTGGTTGTTTGAGTAAACAGATGACTGTTAAGAAGGGGATACCATGGGCTGGAGAGATGGCTCAGAGGATAAGGGCACTGATTGCTCTTCCCAAAGGTCCTGAGTTCAATTCCCAGCAACCACATGGTGGCTCACAACCATCTAAAAACATGAAATCTGGTTCCCTCTTCTGGCGTGCAGGTATACATGCTAACCCACATTGCATAAGTAATAAATAAATAAATCTTTAAAAAAAAAAAAAAGAAGGGGAGACCATTGCAAGCCCCTCTCTCCTGCTGCTCCCTGAGTCGCTCTCTACTTCCAGCTCCTTCTGGGAATGGAAGCCATCCTCCAGGGTAAAGCACAGCAGAGTCCCACAAACTAAGCTTAGGATGAAGCCCTTGGCGGGGAGCCGGGTGGGTGGGACAGTTGAATGTGTCTTGCTAAAAATGCCGACTGTACCTCCCAACACATTGGGGCGGGGAGGCTTGAGGTTTTGCGTTGCTAATCCATTCCCAGGAGACTCAGATTTTGAACCTAAGACTTCCCAATCCTGTCAACATTTCCACGCCAACCTTTCCTCCTTGAGGGCTAGAGTAGGATCTTATCTTTGCGCCCCCAGCGCTTGCTGCACTCCCTGGCACAGAGTGGGCTGTTAACTGTCTAATCACTGAGTGGATGGATGAGCCCAGGGCATGGATATGAAGCTGTGAAGTCAGTATTGAAAGCGATCAAGAGACACCCCCCCCCCCCGGCCTGCAATACGTGGATGGTCGTCAGGGACATCTGTCTGGCTTCAGAAGCCCTACCATGATGGGGAAGCAGTTGTCTCTCTGGATACAGTGATCCTCACACAAGGCTTTGGTGTAGTTATCTGCCTCAGTTTCAGGCGCAAAGCCCATGTCGTGGTCTACGATTTGACCCCACTGCATGAAGAACAAGGATCTGTTTTGGTCCAGGACATCCTCGTTCAGATAGCCAAGGATCTGGTTGGAGACGGCACGGGGCTGCACGTGGAGGAGAGGGGAAAGGTCAGCAGGGAAGAAAGCGCGCTTGGAGGATTCAGATTCAACCACGGTTTGCTGGGAACCTACTGTCCAATCCCAGCAGGAGCCCGTGAGGTACCCGGGCCCACGGCAACGCTTTGTAAACACACGCACGTTGTAAACGGGGACGCAGAATCTTAGAGAGGGGAAGTCCATGCTCTTGGTCCTGCAGCTAGCTACGAAGGGATAGGGATGGGGTTAAGCCCGGGTCTGTAGGACTCGACAGTGGTCATGTAGCCTTAAGATGGAGAGGAACCACAAAGATAGGCTGCGCTGACATGCCTGTGAGGGAAGTGCCAGCTTTCCGGGCACGGGAAGAGGGACCCTGGGGAGGGGCTGCCAACTCAGATGAGGCCAACAGATCAGACCTGCAGGAAAACGACAGCTGGTGCACTCCAGGGGCTGGGACAGGGTAGGGGCAAGGAGAACAGTGCAATGAAACCATCTGTCGGGGAGACCCCAGGGTATCCGGCTTGTGACAGTTGGAACATTGCCATCCCCACCTGGCTGGGCTCCGGGCTCTGCTGCCCTCTCGTGGCAGTTCGGGGAACCTATCGCTAGGGAGCAAATCCTCATTTCAGTTGAGCCTCCCTTTTCCCTTCACCCGGTGCTGATGTACTTGTGGGTGGCTCTTTGCTTCCCATCTTGTGCCCCCGCCCTCCTTCACCTGCGGTAGAGGGAAGCCGTTCCGTGTCTTTCCCGGCGTCCACCCGAAGGGGAGGGAGATCCCGTCCTCGTACTCCGCGGGTAGCCATCGAGCCAGCGCCTTGTTGGCGGATCCCAGCGCTGGGTTCTTCCTGAAAGACAGCAAGAGTGCTCTCAGCCTCGGCGGGTGGCCTCCTGGCTCGCCTCCTTCACCCTGCCGCCCTTCACATGAGCTCCGCGGGAGGGAAAGCACACCCGAGGGAGGAGGGAGGCTCTGCTTTGCTTGGTTCTCAATTTCCCCAACCCCAAGGCCTGGGACTGACTGGCTTAGCGGAAAGGGCCGTTCCCAGGGGGCCACAGTGGCCTCGCTGGAGACGTGCTCTCTCCGGATGGCTCCAGGAGTTGCGCCCGCAGTGTCCCAGGGGTGGGGGGGCGGGGCGGGGTCACCTGTTGTTACACTCTCCATTGATGGTCCGGTAAGGGCTACTCATGTTGCAAATCACTGGCAGAGCATGGGGATCACAGCCGACTTCTGAAAACAGCAAGGCCAAGTCCAGGCCTTGGCCTGAAACAGAAGAGAGCCCCCAAAAGGGCCGAATTTTGAGGCCCTGGGAACAGATAGTGGAACAGCTCAGTGCTCCCCAGGACAGAGTAGAAATGTCATCTCTTGAGACGGACTCCCAGCAAACCCATCTGACACTGGAAGCCCACATCTCCCCTTCACCTACAGGAGTGAGGCTACTGGTTCCTTTCCTGCCCTCGGCATTTCCTCCAGGCAGAGGCCTTAAAACCGTATGACACACTGAACACAGAGGTTCCTTCTCTATCAATATAACCTTGCCAACAAGTTCTTTCATCTGCAAAAGGGACGCTGGCCTAGCTGTCCTCAGAGGGCTTCTGAGCTCTGCCAGTATAGCCTTTGGCGGAGAGAAGGAGAGACAGAAAGGCCCTTCCAGGTAGATAGTTCCTTACAGCGTTTGGCGGCCTCTGCTCTGCACTGATGACCCCTCCCTGTCCTCAGAGGGCTAGTGAGTTCACCAATGTCTACCTGTGACATTGGTGAGGGGCACCACCGGCTTCAGTCTCTTCAGAGACTCTTCCCACACATGTCCCACGCGGATGGCTCTGCGGGTCCAGCCTCTGGAGTGCTTGAGATACTGTGAGAGCTGCCGGGTGGTAGGTGTCTGACTGGTCAGGGCCCTCTTCAGCCTACAGTAGGAACCAATGGGGATCATGAGCCGGCTCTGTAGAAGTGTGTCTGGCTCACGGGAGAGGTGAGAGGTAGTGTGTGAGCAGAGGGAAACCACGGGGTTCCGAAGAGTAAACCTGGGCCCTTTGCCTCTTCTGATGCTGCTCAAAACAAAACAAACAAACGAAAAACCTCTTCAGGGAGGGGGAAGCCATAGTGGCTGTGGGGCATTGCTAAGTCTGGCCTTCAGTAAAGCTGGTGGATGGACCAAAAGATTCCTGAATTTCAGCTAGATGGCTGTGTGCGGTCTGGCTGTGCCAGAACCAACTGGGCCTCTGAAGACCACATGGGTCCTACAATGGATGAATCCAGACTTGACAACTCCTGATATACCGCCGAACCTTATAATCTAAGAATTTTAGGACGAGGACACAAAAGGACCTCTAGTTCTTCCTGTGTTTCTGGCTCTGAAGCCGGAGGGGAGTCCACGGCCAGAAGCACCCAGCCTAGGCTGAACATCTCAGGAAAGCTCAGCCTTAGTCCTTTATCTTCTGTGTGCAAAACCCAAATCCCCAAGGCCTTCTGCTCTGAAGTCTGTGACAATCAGAGAGGTTGGAGGCATGAAAATCTTTCGTGCCTCAGTTTCCTTGTGTGTGAGGATCTTTCTTTGAGGCCTCTGTCTCCAAGTCTCTGAAATATGGCTCAGATCCTCACAAAACCAGCCTTCTGATTGTGTTTACACCTGGGGGGCGGGGGCTGTTGCAATACCTGTCCCGTCTCTTCATATTAGGCCGCTAGCTCCATTTAAAGTGCTAGCAAGTGCCATGGCTTAGTCCAAGGGGCTAGCGAGATGAGAGGAAAGGAACAGGGGAGCCCAGCCCCAGCCCCAGCCTAACCTTCCTAAAGAGAATCAGGATACAAGTCATGCTGTCTCTTGCTGCCTTTAAAAAATAAAACAAACAAACAAACAAAAACCCTGCAAGCTTTCACCATGCAACAGCTCTCGCTAGCCTGGATGCGTAGACGAGGCTGGTCGCAAACTTACAGAGAGCTGCCTGCCTCTGCCTTTTGGGTGCCAGGATTAAAGCCATGCAACACCACACCCAGCGTCCTGCTGTTTTAATGGGACAGTATAGCTCAGTAGCCCAGGGATCGGGTATAAAGCCAGATACCTAGAGCACACGATTGACGCTCTCAGCGTAGGCCAGAGAACTTTCCAGGTCTTTGAGTTGGTAATAGCGTTCTTTGAATATCCAGAAAAGTACCCAAAAGAGGCCCCACTGAGGCACAGAGCTGTTTGTGACAGGTGGATTTGCCATCCCTGTCTTCCCGGCTCCTCTCTTCGCTCAGCTCAGCCCCACGGAGTAGTTGTGGGGTAGGGGAGGGATCCTCACGGCACCCTCTTGTCACCACAGAGCCCAAGTACTTCAGAGGCAAGGAGGTCAGCAGCTTAGGACTTTGCCTCTTTAGACTGACCTTTGAACCCCTGAAATGACACTGTTTCTGGAGACTAAGAGCAATCTACAAGTCACCAAAAGAATCATGGGATTGCTTGCTTGTTTCATGAGTCCCAGCCCTTCTCACGGGGTGCAGGGTGGCTTAGTCTGTTGATCCAGGCCTCCTCAGATCCATCAAGAGGGTTTCTGTGCTCCTTGCCCAGTGGCTGTGGGTGCAGCTCCTTGGCTCACCCCTGTAGCCTTATTTGACACTTGCTGCTGGGCCCATGAGGCTGCCTGATTAGAGGTTCCCAGTTAATAACACCTGTATGCCTAGCATTTGCCACAGGAGTCCCAAGCCTGAGGCCACATCAGCCTAACGTGGCTGTGTGAAAGCTACTCCCTTGCTCCAAGGTGGGACAGGCTCTGAGGTGCACCTTACACCCTAGGTCTCTGTGGGTGGTGGAGGAGGGGTGGCCAGGCTGAGGATGGACTTGAAACCACACTCAATTTTGCACTGTGTGGCAAAATTGCCGGAGAGCACTTCTCTCGAAAATGACCTGCAGTGACCCAGAGCCTATGGTTCTGTTTCTGGAGAGCCTGACTCAAGTCAGACTGCTAATATAGTTAAACGAGAAACTTTCTGAGTCCAGCAGGCATAACCAAAGGAAACCCTGGGCCACATGGAGGGAAGTCCTCACAGGATTTTATTAGATGTCCCCCTCAAGGCACCTTAGAAACCGGATTTTAGGACTCGGAAGCTCTTGTTCTTGTTCGCTACATACTTGGTGGGGGTGGGGTGGGGGTGGAGAGTGGTGGAAAGGCAAGTTTTAGAATTGCTTTGGCTCACTGACTAGCTTGTTGGGGCTGGTCTAGGTGCCCTTGTCCCTAACAGGAAGCCTGTGAAGGGGAGTTCACACACACGCGTCTCATTTACCTGGTCCGGGAATCCAGGAAGGCCTGGTTGACTGAGGCCTTGACTGTGTTCACTGTGTCAGAGATGATGCCAGTTCTGGAAGTTGCAGCTTGGGGAGGGAAAAGCAGGAAGCACGGTATCAATTACCGCTCCTTTGGAATGATGCCCTTTGATTCTCCTTCTCTCTCTCCCTGCTATTACCTCATATTTCAAACCTGAGCAGGTAGGGGATCTGGATTAGGATATTTTACAAAGAGCCCTTAAAGCAGTGGCTCTCAGCCTTCCTAACCCTAACCCTTTAATACCATTCCTCATCTTGTGCTGGCTCCCAACCATAAAATTAGTTCCGTTGCTTCTTCATAACTATCACTCTGCTACTGTTATAAGTCATAAGGTGAATACCCGACATGCAGGGTGCCTGATAGGTGACCCCTGTAAAAGGGTCATTGGACCTCCCCAAAGGGGTCGAGACCCACAGGTTGAGAACTCATGCCTTAAAGGAAACTGATACGGAATGGGAAGAATCGTGCCTGCAAGATGTCAGAATTGTCTGTCCTGTGGGATTATGGTGGAGTCCTCAGGAAGAGGACAATAGGACATTCACCCAGCTTGGGCTACCTGATTTCTGGTGAGATGGTCGTGTGGACTCTTGAACAAGCCTGTCGGAGTTTACCCAATAGCCAGGCACCTCATGGTGGGGTGTGGAGCAGGAAAGGTGCCCTCTGTTCCCTGCAAGAAGGCTACAGCAGATTGAAAGGTGTCCATTTGGAACTTCAGCGTGTGACCTTTTTTCCAAACAGTCTTTGCAGGTGTGACTAATTCAGCTGAGGGTGATTAGAGGGCACCCAATTACAGTGAACCCAAAGTCCAGTGAATGGTGGGTTTAGGAAAGGACCCTCAGAAAAAACATGTAAAGACTAGGGTAGCTACAGTCAAGGATACTAAGGGTGCTGGGAACCATCAGAAGAGAGGCAAGGGAGTCTCCTCTTTAGGGCCTTCAGGAGAAACATGGCCCCACCATTACCTTTGTCTTGGATTTTTAGCCTTCTGGGCTGTAGAGGACTAAATCAGCATCGATTCTAGACGCCCGAGTTTGTCCCAGTCTTATCCCAAGAAACAAATACAATATGACACTTACCATTTCTGGCCGGTGCTGCGGTCTGGAGTAAGGTCAGGGAAGCCAGGAGAGTGGGGAGGTGCAGAAGGATTCTCATCGCTGAAATGAGACCAGGATCATAGAAGGCTCCGGGGAGCCCACTGAGAGAGAAGGAATCTCAGAAAACAGGGAAAGCCCGGGCAAAATCAGATGCCCTACCTATACAAGGTGTGCACAGTCCAGGAGAGCCAGAAAGATACGGAAGGAAAGAGGCCTCGGTGCCTGAGCACCTCAGTGATAGCTCTGCATTTGCCCCACCCACTGATCTTGGGCCACTGGCCTGCCAGTGAGGGGGCAGGGTCTAATGACCCAGGATGTCCTGTTCTGCCCGGGGAGCCTGGGCTTCTTATATCACAGCTATGAGAAATGTTTCCAAGCCTTACGCGTTCTCTTCCCTCTTTCCCCAGACAGCTCACTTCCCTGCCACCTAGGATCTGCTGGGGTGGCACAGGGCATGGGGTGGGAGGGGATACCACACTTTTCCTCAGAAATTCCACAGGGCTTTCCCCTTCCTCAAAAAAACCCAATTAGGTGCAAACATGTGACAAACCCTGGGCTCACAGCTGGGTCTGAGGCTGCCTACAGAAACCGCAGCGTCTCTGCAAACGCCTTCCTCATGAGTTTCAGCTCTAAGCCTGAGCCACCAGGTTCAAGTTTGAACGGTTTTCTTTCCCCTCTTTCTCTTTTCCCCCCTTCTCTCTCCATCCTTTTCTTGATTTCTTCTCTCCACACCCTTCCCTCTTTCCCTTTCTCCTGGGCATTCAAGGCTCGGCCGCATTAGGCAAGTGTTGTATGACTAAGCTGCATCCCTGGGCCCCCAAGGCCTTCCCCAATGTTGCCAAATGTCTCTTTCCTAAGCTCCCTTTAGAGAAAAGGTAAGATATGAAAAACTATATCTCTGGCCAAGATTTTTTTTTTAATCCAAGGTGAATTCTCTTTCTGTGTGTGTGTGGGGGGGAGAAACGGGCGTTCGAACTACCCGTTCGATTAGCTTTACCCATGCTAATCAAGCTTTCTGTCTCTGAAATGTAGTGCCTACCCCAAGATAAATCCTCCAATAACTCAATTCCTCAGTGAGCTCTTGTCCTTACTGTGTGTGACCCCAAACACGAAAAGGTTCTGTGACTTTCTAGCCCTCTGTTTTTCCTTCCATTCTTCCTTCCTTCTAAGTCTCATTATGTAGCCCAGGCTGGCCTTGAACTCGTGGTCCTCCCGTCTCAGACTTGAGTACTGGGATCACAGGTGTGGGAGAACTCTTCCGGTATTCACTGAGTTGAGAAAATGTGGTTTCACAATATCGCTGAGGTAGTTTTGTTTTTAACAGTGCTTTCAAACACAGCACAAACATCTCCACCACAGCCACATAAACCACACAGCAACAGAAATGCTGAGCTGACCACAGAACTCCAGAATGTTTGCGTCTTGTAAAACTTAGGCTTTCAACCCATCGAACACCTCATATCCCCCTCCTCCCGTTCAGTTTAGGCATGTCCCAAACCCTCAGTCTTCACCCTTCCCTGAGACCCAGTGTGTGTGTGTGTGTGTGAGAGAGAGAGAGAGAGAGAGAGAGAGAGAGAGAGAAAGAGAGAGAGAGAGAGAGAGAGAGAGAGAGAGAGCACAGCATTGATACAGGATAGCACCAAGTAAGTGACAGAGTGGAAAAGTTTCCCATCTGGAGGCTGCGCGGGGTCAGGGTGCTGATTGTCTCTTAGGCAATTTCTCACATAATAGTATGTGTGAGAATCATCTCAGGATCCTAAGAAGATACAGACTCTTGCTGAGAAGGTGGTGGGAGGAGGCCCGGAGTCTGCGCCCTCAGAGAGCTCAGGCAGAGGTTCTGCTCTGAAGACCACGCTGGGTACGGCAACCTTCCAAAGTTGGACTCTAAGATTTGCAAGTCAGCAAGGAGGTTGGAAGGACTTGTTGGAATTCATTTCCACCAATGGCAAGAACCTTGTTGAGGTTGATGGAGGAATGAGCCAACCAGAAAAATCAGTAAACACCCCATCACCGAGGAGAACACTATAGCTGACTTGTTCTGTTTTGTTTTTGAGACAGGGTTTCTCTGTGTGGCCCTGGCTGCCCTAGAACTCACTCTGTAGACAAGGCTGGCCTTGAACTCATACAGATCCACCTGCCTCTGCCTCCCGAGTGCTGGGATTAAAGGTGTGCGCCATCACTGAAAGGTGATAACTCCAATACTGTAATACGTGATCTGTATCTCTATGTCACTTATATCTTATTTGATATATATGATCATACATATACATATATGATCACACATATATGATCACACACACACGTAAGATTTTCATCCACAGTAGCTCCTGGTTTATCCTAAATTAGGATATAGAAACCATGATTTCTTTTTCCTGAGGACAAACTCTCTAATGACACCCACACCCACACACCTTTCCCTGTTGGTGCTGACTATGAAATTCTTAGAACTGCATCATCTGAGAATGGTCCACAACCCTCCCATTTCAGAAGGGATTCTGCCCTGTGACTGGGAGGGAGGAAGGAATGAGGCTCAGAGATGCAAAGAAGAATCTCAATAGACAAGCCTTGCTGGGATTCCCCGCTCAGCCTATTAGCATTAGGTTTATGTGGTTGTTTGGGCTTCATTGGGCTGTTTGGGCTGATTGTATAATGCCATAAAATCTCCATAAAACTCCAGAGGGCTTCCAAATTATCAGATTTTACATGGAAGTTGCTGGAATATGGAGTGCTCAGAGAGCAGAAATGCTCCCCGTGCCCTGTGACCTTTGAAATAGCCAAAGTAAGTGTTTCCCAAGCTGAGTTTTTCAAGCTGATCAGATTTGAGCAGGGGCTGTGACAGAAGCAGGCACTGTCAGAGCACATGGAAATAAATCAATCCAGAGTTTGTGACTAGCTCTGAAATCAGGAGTCAGTTTTGGGGACTGAGCCCTCACACATATACATATATGATCACACATATATGATCACACATCTCTCAGGGTAGAGATCGCCAGTACCGAGTGGGGATTAAGCGACACCCAGCTGGCATCCATCTACAGTGTGTCTCGCTGGTGGGTGGGGAGTTCTCCCAGTCAGAAGCAGGCTGTGACACGCCAGCAAAACTGATTTTAAGACTGAGTTTATTTTCCTTCTGTATTCTCAGTGACTCTTATCAAGCCCTCCGTAGGAGAAAGAATCCTTTGCCCCAGCTGGAGGTGAGACATTGGGCACGTGCTAAATATAGCCAGTTACATAAAAAGCACCACAACTCAACCCCCCCCCCCCCAGTGTTCCCCCAATAACACCCATCTAGTGCTGTTACAGTTCAGGCATCTGGTTGAGACCCAAAGGACCTCAGAATATTCAGAACACTGGGAACTAGATTATCGGGCCTGACCAGATATTCAGACCTGCTACAGCCAGCAGGCATGAAGGAAGTGAATGGAGATCCCAGAGCCCTGGCTTAGACTCCCCCCCCAAAACACTGCATCATCTTACTACCAAGGAGAGCTACCCATCTGGAGACTACTACATTCAGGAACTGTCTCCCCGATTTCCTGAGTGACCCTGGACGCCTGTCTTGGGCCTCAGTTTCTAAACAGTACAGATGAAAAAGGTCTGTGAAACTTCCAGTCTTGGCAGTTTATGGCTGGTTTCTGTCTGGTTTCAGGTGTGGGAAAAGACTTCTCGCCCTGCAGCGGATTTAGTCACTCAGGATTTGGTCAACACACAGGAAAAAAAAGTTGCCAAGCCATAGCCAGAAATCTGGCACCAGAAAATGCCCAAGGAAGACATGTGTCTAAAGCTAGGACTGAATGTTCTCCAGTCTTGGGGAAATTTCATCATCCGCTTTGCAGGAACCAGGAAAGGTTAGTGTGACTTACCTGCCATGAGCCTTGGCCTCCCGAGGCAGCTTTACAGTTGGTTCTGCCTGGACCAGCTGGTCTTTTATATCCTTCTGTAAGAATTTACTTATGGGAAAGGCCCAGAGGAAAGGATTTTGAGGGGTTGAAGTGGCTTAGAGGACACACACACACACACACACACACTCAGGCTCACAGGGAACACCCTGTGACTCCAGGCAGATGCAACAAGGAAACTATAAGATGCCAGGGAGCTGTTGATGCAATATGGCTGACTAGGCAACGTTACTCTTCTTCCCACTTTGCAGCTTATGTCTGCCATCTTAGTCTAGCCAGGGACAGTGCAACGCCAAGCCCTGCACATGCTTAAGCCCCAGTGGGTCTGAACAGCTCCTATAACCAGGTCTAATTAAATGAGTGTCATCCTTATTCATTTACTGGTCATTTTTTTTTGATCCCTCCCTTACCTCCTACCCAATCCATGGTAGGATTAATGGACTCATCTTTTGTTTCTAGGGTGATTAAACAACATTGATTTGGGGGAGGGGGGTCAAAAATCTCAAAAGACTTACTTTTTGAAAGTAGCCACCAGAGAAAGAGAGAGTAGAGGAGTCCTCACCTACCATCAGGATGGTGGGCTGCAGAGCCCGCAAGTTGCTTCACCTCCCAGTGTTTTGAATTGCCCGGTGGTAAAAATTCAAAGCCTAGTTTAGGTGATGGTCATGGTTCTCTGACTTCATGCCTTTTATAGGGCATCTCCTTAAAAACAGCCGTGGCCCCAGAAATCATCGAGCCAAAACCCAGAGATTAATATATAACTTTTATCTCAGTGACTCAGAAAGCGTCAAGTGTGTCAGAATCAAACGAAAAGGAAGTGGATCAGAGGAAACAGAATTTCATTGTCTTACAAGGTAAGACACTCACTGAAACACACCCAAAGACTGCTTCTCTATTTCTTTCTTTTTGTTTTTGAGACTGTCTTAGACCTCATTATGTAGCCCAGGTTAGCTTCAGAGTCACACAACCTTCCTACCTCAGCTTCCACAGGGATGCGATCACAGGTGCAAACAGCCAGTCCAAAGAACGTCTCTCTTCTGAAGAACACAGGTGAGCAGGCTGGACATCTCAGAAGAAGGCTGCTGCCAAGCAAAGGGCACAAACATCAGGCTCTTCTTGTTTTCTCTGAAACACAGTCCAGCGCCTCAGCCAAGCATTGTTCCTTTGCATCTATTCCCTGAATGTTGGAACCTGTTTCTGGTTTTGCACTTAATGGTACAGGAAGCTTTGTCTGTAGATGGAATTTATTTGAGGGGATTTGAGCCTGGGATCCATGTCAGGCTTGGACACCGTGCCAGGCAAATGCTCCACCACCGAGCCTTTTCAGGATGGAACCTTCTAGAATGTTCAGGGGAATAACACCGTGTCCCCTGAAGGTAACAGCAAAACGCAGGTCTTACATCTCTGCGCCTGATTCACTGAGTCCTGGGTTCGGTCAGGGATGGAGCATCATCAGCACCAAACCAGTGCGGCCCATGAAGTATCACTTGGCATGAAGCGTACCTGTGGACATGCCATTGTCCTGTAGCTGACCGTAGTCTCATAGCTTCGCAGGAATTACATTGATAGCTTGATTACGTGGGTTCCTCATTCTGTCCAAATCTTCTCAGCATAAGGATGCCTCTCCCTAGTAGAGAACTGGCAAATTGGTCTGAGAAATGGAGGTTAGGAGATCAAAAGTTCAGATGAAAGCTGAAAGTTGCCAGAAACTTCTCATAAGTCAGAACAGATCTCTCTTTCTCTCTCTCTGTGTGTGTGTGTCTGTCTGTCTGTCTGTCTGTCTGTCTCCAGACATTCAGTGGCCTCAGACATACTTGGCTTACCCCATTTCCTTCCAAAATGAGAATGCCTCACTTCGAGTGCACAACCTTCGACAGGTGAGGAGAACAACCATGAGAGGTGACACAGAGACCAAGCTGCTAGGAGAGACCATGGCTCTTGTTTTGGCCCTTGCCCTTCCAGCCACCCTTGCCATCTTTGGGGTAGCCCAGCTCCTTTCTTCCCTCACTGTCTACTTCAGATTTCTCTTACCGGCCAGGCAAGCATTCATTTTAAAGCAGCCCCTTCCCTCCCTTTTTTTTCCTGCTAAAATACATTTCCTCTTGTTGGTTTCTTAGAACCACAGGTGATTAGACCTCTTGACTTAAGGAGGGCCCCAGATGCTGTGTCTCCCACTGTAGGCCTCTTCCTACCTCAGAGAATGGAGGATCTTCGGTACTCTGGCTTATGCTTATCTCCTGGCATCTGGAGCAGTGTGACCCCAACAGGACTCTGAATGGTGTCCTTGAGTAATATAGACCCAGGGGACAAATAGAAACATTGCCACATGGCTCCCTGGTGTCTTGGGGAAATTTCATCATCTGCTTTGCAAGAACCAAGAAAGGTTAGTGCGACTTAGCTGCCATTAACCTTGGCCTGGAACTTGGTGAGCAAGGAAAAGAAATGTCCAAAATGGATTGTGTGTTTTCCTGGAGACAAGAGACCATTATCTTCTCTGTGGTTTTTCATCGTGTGGTTATTTTAAGCAGGACACTGATAAGCTGTATAATGGCTTCCAAGACTGACATAACACTGCATAAGGGTTTTGACCAGAAAACCCAGTACAAATGAGTTTTTCCAGTTAGTCACAACTTGTCGAGACTGAAGAGTCAGTGTTGTTGAAGGCCTTCCTGGGATCAGCCCGCTGAGGAGGGCAGGGGGAATTCCTAAGAGCTACCCTGGTAGGTGAGCAGATTGCTATTTCTTCCTGTCTTTTATTCATAGAACACTCGCTCTTTCCAGTCAAGACTATTCTTCCTTTTCTTATCCACCTTCTGCCTCTCATATCCAATTAAATATTTATTAAGCTCTTAATATTATGTGCTTCCTGTTTTCTCTTCCCTCTGTTCCTCCCTCACCCCAGCCAGCTTACACATTATGAATTTTAATAAGTTCCTTTCAAATGAAAAAGGTGTCAGGTGGCTGGGGAAAATGACAAATCTTGGCACGCAGTGAAGGTAATTTTATCCCAAACAAACCCTAAGATGGTCAGGGTAAAAATGAAGTCATGAGCCCAACTATCATAAGTCACAGATAAACACGGGATTTTTAAACTACTAAACAAACAAAACCATTTTATTATTGCTATAGCTATTCTCTGGGGAATCTGATAAAATGTATTTTATGATAACTCCACAGAGAAGATGTTTTTTTAAAAATGTATCGTTTTGAGCTGGGGACAGAGCTCAGTTGAAAGGAAGAACGTTGGCCTAGAATGCACAAAGCTCTAGGTTTGATCCCCAGCACCACACAAATGGGACACGGTGGCACACACCTGTGATTCTAGCACTTGGGAGGTAGAGGCAGCCAGATCAGGAGTCCAAGTTCACCCTCAGCTAGGGAGTTTGAGGGCAGCCTGGGCTAACTGAGATCTTGTCTAAAAGCCGGGGGAAGTTACCAGTAGAAAAATAGGGAGTACTGGATTATTAAGACAGCAAGTCAGCTTCTGGCCCAGCTTGCTATTTTGGTCATGTGACCTTGGAGAACTCACTCTATTGAGACGCCTGGGTTTCCTTATCTGTAGAGGGGAGTGGACACACTAAATAATTGTGATAGTTCCCTTGGGTTCCAAAGGCTAGAATTCTGTCACGAACCACCAGCTGTAGGAGGTCCCAGCTCCGGCTTGCCTCTGCACCATTGTACAAGCCCATCCAAGCCTCACAGCCTCTGGTTCTCTCGATATCATTGTTAGGATCACCTGGAGTAAACGGTAGGAAAGAGTTCCCCTAGAAGCCATTTTTCCTTCACTCTGAGGACAGCCACACACAGGACAATGGACTGACAAGACAGCAGTTTTATAAGGAGTATGGTCATTTTGCAGACACCCAAGTTGGAAACCCTGGGCTCCCCTCATTCTCCTTTTTTTCTTCCTTTCACCCTCACATCTCTTGAGTTACCAAATCCATTTATCAGAAATCTCTTGCTTCAGTTGCCCCCTTGCTTTCCCTGCATTGCGCTGCTGCCCTGAATCATCTCCAGGTCTATCCCCTCCTTACCAAGCTCCGTCCCACACCGGCCCCTGCACCCCGCCCGTTCGTTCCTCTACCCTGACATTTCGGTCAGCTCACCGCTGCCCATAGGACAAAGCCCACGTGCTAGTAAGATTCTATACCACTCATGCCCCGATGTCACCAACCTGCCGTCTATCACTCCTTCACCCAAACTCTCCCTGTCGAACTAACCCGTTCGTTCTTCCCCAAGCCACAACATGATCTTCTGTTTCCATGTCTCTCCCTCTGCCACACTCCATGCCTTGAACTTGCTTTGCTCCAGAGGATGACCTTGAACTTTTAGTTCTCCTGCCTGTGCTTATCCAGTGCCGGAATGGCAGGCAGGCACACACATCACCACGTGTGATGTGTTCTGTGTGCTGTGCCCGAGGTGGACCCTAGGACTTCATGTATGCTCGGCAAGCACCATACCAGCTGGCCGACCTACATCCATCCCTCTTGTTTCTTTATGCATCTTTCCTGTTGCCCAAACTAGATCAGAGACTCTGCAGAAGCTCTCAATTATGTTGGGCAATCGATAATGTTTGGCTTTGATGATCAGGATGACAGAAATATAAAAGGTATCTTGCTGGCTTAGCCTACTTACTCCAGTCCTGACTGTCAGTTCTAACACTGGGCCAGGGATTCGTTTTCTAGCCTGATGGAAATGGCGTGGTGATTTAGAGTGTAGCTAGAGTCTGTGGTAACTGTATTTTCCTTTGATCTTCCTTTCTCCATCTTAAAAGCCCCCATAGCCTATCACAAGTTAGACAGATTCAGAGCAAGCCAAGCTGTCAGGAGTAGCAGCATCACAGAGTTGTGAGCGCAGAATGGGGCCAGGAAGTTGGGAGCAGAGAGAATCAGGAGCCTCCTTGACAAGCATATCCTACCCCACTCCCACTTCTGTGCCTGTTTTCCCGAAGCTCCCGCCCTTTCAAGAGTCATTGGCTCCTAGTGTTCTGTCTTGCCCTCTTCAGTGTTTGTGTCAGACGGAGGCTGGACTTCTGGGATGGACATCCCTGGGAAGGCTTCCTACTTCTGTGATGACTAAAACACAATGGTGACACCCTCTGGGTAGGGTACCACCTGGTGTCCTCACTGGGACTCAGCAAATGGCAGAGTTCTAGCTTTTCCCTCCCCAGAGCTCCGCCCAGATGTCGTAGAGCTCACCCCAGGATAATAGATGCTCTGCAAGATTGTGGTGGAAGCTGGAATGAGGTGAGGTTTGCACTGGAATCCCTTCTATTCTCGTGGGACACTATGGAGAGCTAAGTGGCTATTTGCCACTTCCTCTTCTCGGTGCAAAGAGGACAGACACAAGGAAGGGCATCTTTGCTGTTCTGCTCTTCTGTTCTCTTAAACACACTAAGCATGCACTAGAGACACGCCCTTCTACCCTGCACGTACTACGAGCAGGAGCAACGCTTTCCAAAAATGCCTTTGTCTCAGTGGTTAAAGGAACAGGCTGGACAGCGGAGCTGCCTCTGGAGGCTTGGGAGTAGGTGAGCTGGGCCCAACGGCAAGAGAGCAGGAGAGCTGACCCCGCTTCCTGCCCGATAGAGGCATTCCT